AATCTTTATTCCCCTGCTTACAGAAACTGCCTCTCCGGTTAACTCTTATTACATTGTCACAGCTAAGGCGAAGCGCCCATCGGCGTAAGTGACGTTGAGTTGGCCACGGCCACCCAGTCACATGACCACCAAGCCATGCCTACCCAGCTGATCATTAGGGCAGAGAACCGGTTGTTAAATTATTTGAATCCCACCACTGACTGTAACGTAGTAAGCTTTATGAACGATTCTGAAATTAAGAAAAGCCGCACCTGGGCAAATGGTGTCACTATCAGGTCTTCAGTGTGCCTGTAAAGGAGAAAAAATGATAGATCTGTATTACTTTGGAGAGAAGGAACAGAACCTGAAGTTCAAAGTGTTAAATGAAGGCAGAGGAAGCCCAGGTCCTCACTTAACCAGACAATTATTTCACCACCCGATTGTTTCAAAGACAAAACGGGAAGCGGGGAGGGGAAAGTAGAAGCCCACCGCCATCAATTTCTATAGGGAAAAAAAATAAGGATAGAGATGGGAAGAAATAAAGAAATAATAACTAAACCCACAGCGTCCCATAATTCTGAACCACACACTTTTTCTGGCAGGAGACTTGGATGATGCTCAGAGAAAATACCGTAGGTCCATTTTCTTAAGCATACAAGTTCACTTTTCAGCCTTGAAGCCATTTACTTTTAGGAAAAGCCAACCAAAATGATCCTTAAGGCAACCCCAGCCTACATACTGAACACCTCTACTAACATTCCCCTCGGCCCGAAGTGCATTATTTAAACCTTGGTTGCTGCGTTCCTTTAAACTCTCTATATTTCGCACAATACATTGAAAAAGACTGTTTGATAGTAGAGTCCAGAGGAATCACATAGCCCATGAGCCTCCCAGTCTACAGCTGATCCAGTGTTGCTGTCAGTAGGCTGATTCCTGGCCTTCCTTTGGTTCAGGGAGCTTGTCACTGAGAAAGGGGGTGTGATAAGGTGCCTGGCTTTCAACCCACCTGTCACCCATGGGACACGTGTGTTTTCCAGCCCAAATTCTACCTGCCTGGGCATTTAAGAGACCCGAGCCTTTTATCTGACTGCTCTATGATCTCCATGAAATCCCACTGGAGAAAGAAGAGGGACTTACGCTTCACTGGCAATGGAGGAGTTCCGTGACATGGTCTTTGGCGACATGTCGTAGTCACTGTCCGAACGATATAGGAAGGACTCACGCCTTTGGCTTTGTGGAAAGCTGGGGTGAAGCACCAATCCAGGGCTGGCCTGGGAATCCAGGGGGCTGCGACCTGGAGATGGGCCATTTTCCACTTCAAAGCTGCCAGAGAGAAAAAAGAAACACGTCAAGGAATTCTCAACTAACTAATTCAAGTTAGTTGAATTCTCAACTAACTAATGGCTCAATTAATATTAAAAAAATACAGAACCTCCACTATATTAATGTGGGAAGAATAACCAACTTGAAGAGTGTTAAGAATCCACTCTTATTCACAGTCCTGTTTTGCATACTGGGCTAAAGAACAGATTACTTAAATATGGTTTATTGATTAAACCAGTGTTTTTCAACCTTGGCAACTTGAAGATGTCTGGACTTCAACTCCCAGAATTCCCCAGCCAGCAAATGCTGGCTGGGGAATTCTGAGAGTTGAAGTCCAGACATCTTCAAGTTGCCAAGGTTGAAAAACACTGGTTTAATCAATAAACCATATTTAAGTAATCTGTTCTTTAGCCCAGTATGCAAAACAGGACTGTGAATAAGAGTGGATTCTTAACACTCTTCAAGTTGGTTATTCTTCCCACATTAATATAGTGGAGGTTCTGTATTTTTTTAATATTAATTGAGCCATTAGTTAGTTG